CATTCAGCATGCTGGCAGTGCGGCGGATGGCATTTTGTGCGATTGTGTACGTACACAAAGCACAAATGTTCAGTGTGCAATCGACGTGGACACAAGGAAAGCCAGTGCCGGACGCAGAAAGTTAGCCAAAGACGCAGTCAACCAAGGAGGTCTTGAAGCGAACGGAGCGGATCAGAACCCCGTTTTAACGCAATACTTGCAACATTTGATAACCAGATCGATGCTCGTCGCAAGTATGTCACATTCAGTGCAAACGGAAGCACAATTCGATTGCAACTCGATACGGCTTCCGATATTACGATTGTTTCCCGGCGCACCTGGAGAAAGATCGGATCACTGGAATTCAGACCGACAATGAAATCCTTCAGGTGGCAAGCTTCAACTACTTGGTAAGTTTACTTGTGAGATGGAGATAGCGGGCCACCGTTATTGTGGTATTGTTCATCTTGCTGCTTGTGAGCTCAATCTCCTGGGCATAGACTGGATCGGCCGCTTGCATCTTTCAACGATGTCAGCCGACAAATTATGCATATCAAATCAACCCAAATCTTGAGAGTATCTGGGTGAGTAAATCAGTAGATGCGGCGATCCTACGACTACAACAGAAGTATGAGGCGAGGGCCTTAGATGTTGCTCAAAAGCAAAAGCGGTACTTCATCTGCGCCCGGAATTCCAGCCAGTTTTCAGACCTAAAAGGCCAGTACCATACGCGGATTAACCTCCGCGCGCGATACGTTCGAAATCGGTTCCGTTTCTCCCTCGTGCAATTTCGTGAAAATGTTTTTCGTTTTTCAATCTATTCACAGAATACACACGAGTAATTTTTGAATTTTATTACTCTAACAGAACATTTGAGAGATAACCCTTGATATTTTTCACACACATCCTATTTTACCGCTAATCCTAAACATGACATCATTTTACACCGATTGCCGGCTGCAGCCATAGATGGACCACAGCAGAAGTGGACGAAATGGCTGCCCGTCGAACGTCAAACGCGGTATGCAATGCCAAACATGCAAGGCCTGGTTGCACTTAAATGCACGGTTATACAGGACGACCAGATAGGCCGAATTTCTAACTCTCCTGACCCCTTTCTGCGCCAGCTACCTCTACGTCAAGGGTGCAATGCATACGGCAGCGAAGAAGAGAGTCCCCCCAAAACGGTACCCAATCCCCAGTGCAGATTCAGAAAGACCACTGTCAGTGTTCCGATTGGATCGGGACACTCGCCGCGAAATCATAGCGTCTTTCAAAGGCACTGGAGGACTCAGACGCTAAGAATGCAGCAACCTGGACGAAAGTTGACAAGGAAGTTTCTTCGCTGAACGAGTACCTCGCGATGTCCATACTTGGCCATATGGCTACGAGGAAGGTATTACAACTCTCTGACGCGGCTATAAAGACCGCGACAGCCTCTCTGGTGGACAGGCGCCTAAGGGAAAGAAGATTGATAATGTGAGGGTCATTCTCCGGAAAAACCTCGCGAAGGAAACTGGCACAATCAAGCCATAGGAATGTCTTTACCAAGCCCGGCCAATTGCACTACGCAGAATTGTTACGCCAGAAGGGAAGCAAGCGAACTTTTGGACTTCTCGTCACTCTTGCTTCCCCTTCTGACGTACAAAAGATCTTGGAGCGGACTGACAGCATTCAAAAGGCCAACCCAATGATCGTGCGTCTATCTGAGAATCGCCCTTGAGACGCGCGAAAGCTCGGTCACAACAAGTCAGGGGTGGAGGCATGAAACGGGCCTCCGCTGGACACAAACCCAGCCGACCCCAAACACATGACCAAGCCGATTGTGGTCATATCCAGTTGGGCTCCCGAAAGCAGGCCGACGAAACCAGCTGCGTCTCCGGGCAGGAGCTTCTATTCGACCACCACAGGCCTATGGCACACCGAAGGCAGGGACGCCATGGAGGAGGCAAAACCCACATGCAGGCAGCGCCCAAACTACGTGGAGCTATCAACGCTTATCTCCGTATCAGAGGACACAGCTACAGCCGTGCATTCGTCAACAGTCACAGCCTCTGAACTGGACTGAGTCAGATGTGCGGGGACAAGAAGCGAAGCCAATCTCCAGCTCCAGTCCGTCAAAAGCGGCCCCTGCTTGTGGACACGACCGTCGCCCAGGGCCCCGACACCCATAGCCATGAACATGACTACAACCATCCGGAAACTCCTTCGTACATTCAGTTGGCCACGCTGGCCGCTGGCAGATCGGGTGTTCACACAAACACGAAAGAACAGCGACTGCAGCCAAACAAGCCACATCAAACTCGCCAGATTAGAAGACCGCTGGCCGGCTCCAAGGTGCACTCCTCCGCGAAAACGAGCCTCTTGGGAGCGCCACCAAAATCATTACTTCTTGGTGCCGCCACCCAGCGCCCACGGCCACATAGAGACACTTTCCTGGCCAAACCGCGCCAAAACACCCAAGAATCCATGAAGGCGAAAGCTTGCAGCAAACCTTTGATCAACAGCATGTCTGGTCGCCGAAATTTGGTGCTGAATGAGCTACGAACAGCATCCATCGAAATTTCCGCCCATGGTGAAAAACTCCGTCCCCCAAAGGCAAAAGGCCCGAGCAAACCGAGCTCCCAAGGAACGGAAAAACCTCTCAGGCGAAAAGCACCCCCAGAAACAACAAAGACTGGAAGCAGACAACATCGCCCCAGAGGCCCCCTTGGAGCCTTGGACTCAGACTCAAACCTGGTGCACAACTATTAAGTCCGCTAACCACCCCGGTCACTGAATTTTCGGCTCCTCACCCTCGGAGGCAGCGGAGACAGTGTTGAAATGCTTGTCCACAAACTGCCTCAGCCTTTTCAACAAACTCGGTGATGTTAAACAGTCAGCTTGTCTTGAACAGCCGTCCATAATCGCACTCACAGAGACTTGGCTCACACCAGATGTCTCTGGCGAAGAGATCTCGATAGACGGTTACTCTGTTTTTCGAGCCGACTCAAAACGAGGTCGCACAGGTGGGGTTGCTCTGTACTTACATGCGTGAGAAAATGATCAACGTTACCTTGAAGAAGAGGATTCACGGAACAAACAACTCCACGCACGCCGTACCAACAGGCACATGGCATATGGTTAGCATATAAGCACTGAATGTAGGTCACATAATGGTTGCAATGTCAAAAATCCCTGTAAAACCAACACTTCTTTTATCCTGTTCTTGACTAGCATCTGCGCGGATCTGAGGATACTGTACTAGCCCAAGTCATGAACCTTGTCAATGACTCCAAACATTCTCTCCAGAATCTTAGAATTCCGGCCGAAGTATAGAAGTATATCAATGCCCTATTTTGGTGGAGCATTTGCATCAGATCTAACACAGATATCACCGGGAAACTGCAATAAGTGACTCATGGTTCCGCGTGAAATACTAGTGCACTTGGTCGATATCATTGGAATGCTGCTGAGCTTGAATGTAGGACAGGCATCATCTGTGGGATGTTAAACGAAGCCGAAAGTTCCGTTAGGGTAAACACTAGCCACCTGAATGCGGAGGTGAATCAATAGAAACCACTCCCAAAACTTTCGTACAACGTTCAAGAGCCCTCATTGAAGGCTATGTACACCAGATCTGGCATTTCGGTCACGCCCATTAGATGCAACTTTTCTGAGAAAAATGTGACAGCCTTCCGGACGCACTTATAAACTTCCGAGTGAGCACTGTCCACAGTTCGCGGTTTGCCACATCATCTAAGAAGATAGCTGACAATCAGGTAAAAGGTTTATCACCGAGACTTTAGATATCGACAACGTGTTTAACCGGTGGAACAAGTTTTGGCGGAAGCATGTCCAATTTTGCCAGCGCGTGGTTGTAAGAAGATGGATGGGGGGTCTATTGAGTTATGCATGGTGGAGAAAACGCGCTGCCACGACCAATCAGTTGCGAAAACAACTTCAGCTTGTCATACTTTACGAAACGATATTTTTCATCATAAAGATTCTGTCGAAGTGTTCTGCTGTATGGTTGTCCCGATCGCCAGGAAAACCCCAATATTACACGATCTAAACCCGCAACTCTGAATGCGCTAAAAGACGGCGGAAAGCTTAGACAGGAGGTTTCACTTTTTAAACACCTAATGACACCTTATTTTGGCATGCGTTGGGTCTCCCATTTCCGCTGAGTGTGAACCCTACTGGCTCCGAATATTAGCCCGGTGCATCAAAGATGATCGAAGTAGATGTCACTTCTTAGTAGACACCGGATTCTTCTTTTGCAAGAATTTGAAGTCGATCTTGTTGGTGAATCTCGGCAAAACAAGCCCCACGCTTTCTCCCAACGAAGAGACAACGAAATGTGGACAAATACCTCGGATTTGTTCAGTATTCCGCGCAAAAATGGAACACGCCATTTAACACTTTCGGTGTTGCAATCCGAAAGTGACAACTCACTGCTTGTAGGAACATGCATCCTCATGTCTGTCAACCTTGGTGCCAATCGGCTGTGGGGCTGCGGGTGGAAAGATTGAAGGTCCTTTATTACGCATAGCATTAGGGAGCAAGGCAGATATTTCTTGCTATTTTCCATTTACGTTGGAATTACCAAGCAGTTTCAGCATACAAGATACACACCCGGTTGCAGTGGATTCAAGCCTTTGTTTTGCGAAGAAAGTTGTATTCCGGGTACAATGGGATATAATTGTGTATTTGAATGCCGTGTATAGATGCAACAAAGCAATCGTCTGCTAGTCAATGGTAGGTTTCCGGAATGGGAATATTTCTGCCCACTCCAGTTGCGCATCCATCGTTTGTACTTATTATAATATCAAGATTTCACGAAAACCCACTTGTTGCACGGACACCATGCCGATATTCGCTTCAGACCGTTTGAACCTGTTGCTTGGTCGGCCGCCGGGGCGACTTCGCAGCAAAGTTACACGTAGCCCTAGAGTCTTTCCTAAAGTTACAATGACAATCGTTTTTCTGGCTCAGCAGACGCCCGTGTCCATCGGTATTTAATTGAAACGTCGTATTCGTTACTTTGCAGCCCATTCAGCAATAATGATCGCACAACCTTTGGCTGTAATCGCAGACTGCAAAAAAGAATGGGGAAATAATATCCCCACGAGGTATCTAGCTTCAAGTTTCATGTTCTAAACTACCAGTATAAATGTTGTGATGTTCATTTTATCAGTCAATAAATTAAAAAACAATAACGCCAATAAGCGCCGGCAAACACTCACCGGATCGTTCAGCGGCTGCTTAAATCTCCCACCAATTTTCAGACAACATTCTGTACTTGGCTGCATAAATTGAAATGTTGGGTGCTCACAAATATCATCCGTATTTTTAGTATTTGTTGGGCCCATCCTGTATCTTGGCTTTCCTTTGATTTTTTAAAAGTTGTAAATCGTTTACAGCACAGATCGAAAGCAATGCAGTTATCAGGTTATTAATGAAAATTAGCGACGTGGCTTGGAGCGGTGTAAACAGGATTTGAGGACAGAACCGAGGTTGATGACTGATGCAAAATTTCTATGAAGTGTAACACTGCTACCTTAATTTGAAGCTGATGTAACAAGATGTATTTCAATCCATTAGAAGTTGAAGACTGCTCGCGATTTCTCATATCTTGAACTTGGGCGTTGCTATTTGTTATTCCATAGTTTCTAACCAACAGCAGGAGACACAGGGGCTAATACTCACCAGTTTTATCATCGAAGTAATTGCTGCTTGTAGTCTGCCAGCATATGTGCCTTCATCCTCTTGAAGGCTCCAGATAATCAAATATTTACCGGTGGCTTCGATTATCCCACCTGCACCAACTGTACTTGGGCGAGCAACGAAAACTAGCGATGATTGTATTGACTGGATATTGCATAAAATTTTCATTCTTTCCAGCTCTTCCAGGCCAGCAGTAGCAGATAAAATGATGTTGAACATCATATCCTTTCAGCCACGTGGGGTAGAAAAATCTTGCAAAAATAACGGGAAACCTGGGCGGCAATGGTGAATAGATCGGCCTCAGGAGGCAGCAACCAAGAGGCGGTAACCGAGATGTCAGTGTTGGACTCATGCCACGCACAGTTCGGCTAGTAACTTTGCACCACAAACGCCAAGATACTAAAAGCATTACCATAAGCATACCCAAATCCCGTTGTGCACATGCACAAAGCAAGGTTTTGGCTCCTAGCACCGACTCGCCGTCCGCTGGTCAGTTCAGTTCATTTACACAAACCAAAAAGTACGCTAGCGAATTTCGTCCGCGGTGCCGCGATTATTTCACTATACGCATTTACGGCCATATTTGCAGTAAAAGTATGCTGTTCCGTGTTAATGATGATCAATGTGTAGTTGCTCCGCCTAGAATTTAATTATTCTAATCGGTGAAGTAAGAACCTCAAGTCCACGGAGAGAGATTGTTTGCATGTCCAGAAATCAGTTTGTGAAAAGGTAATGGCACTCTATTTCCGACATACCAATTGCATGTGGAGGTCACAAAGATCCGGTCCATAACAAATTCACTGCTAGAAACGACATGTTTTGTCGTTTAAGTAATCAACAGTCGCTGGCTTTCAGTTTCGTACAGCCATAATCCCGAGTGACATGCATTTCAAAGTCACCATTGGCCGCCCGCCGTGGCGGCACAATTTCCAGGTGTTGGCTGCACCATGTTGTTGGATTAATTTGCGCGCTACATAAGACGATCACCGTAGTATTTTAGCCGGACATCCGCATTGATCTGAGAAGTAATCCATTCATAGCTCAAGAAGCGCACGTCTAATATCCAGGTTCTACCACCATGCTCACAATCATGAAGCCAGGTTTGTGATTTCGCATCCTTGTACCAGCTGGTGGTCACGGAGCACAAGCAACCAGTTTCTATTCAGCGCTGACTCTCTTCAGTATCCCCCTCAGCGTTGTCCAGTAAAGACAACAGAAACGGTCGGAAATTCACTGCGGGGTTACGCACTGTTTTATAGCCTTCATCTGGTAATTGTAGCAGTGTGAAAATTTGCGCTAAAAGCTAACGCCTGCGGCGCGTCTTGCATGTCTAATTCCATTCACAATGTACAAACGTACACGGTGCTTCTCCATGGTTCCTGTCGGAAGTCAACCACACCGCGATGCAAATCGCTCGGTCTATATGAGTCGATTGATGATGGGTCGACCGACATCAACACAGTTCATCAATACGAAAGTATATAGCTTTCAGCACCGCCACTGCGTATACGGGGAAATTAATTGCGCCGAAACAATGAATTAATTAAGTAACAAACTTCACAGACTTTCACTTTCCCAAAGGTATTGGTTGTTGATGCAAATGTTCCAAATTTTACGGGCATCGGGCACCCCCGATTCAATCATATATCAAAGTTTACTAGTACAGCGTTATTCCACAAAGCTGCGAAATGTGGTAGTACAGGGTGCTTGGACTCTTGAGTAACCCACATTTATCTTTCTATTCAACTATCATCCAGTTAGATACTTGAATAATGATCGTATCCGTTCCGCCGTCTTCAGCCGGCTTGCATAAATTCTTGACGACGCTATTGCTCACAACGCTTAAGCTGTGGTGCTTCTTCTCCCAAGAGAACCATTTCACATTATGCCTTAACGCATAAAGCAATCACCCAAAACTGTCAATACCATTCAACGCCGGCTATGCGCATGTATTCAGGAAATATTACGGTCGTTCCAATGGATCGCATAAGGTATCCAAACTGTCTAGCGGTGTACCCTTTCCCAGTAAAAGCACAATGCGGAGAACGTTAGGTTTTGTCAGGAAGGCGATGAACTTTTCATGAAATGTTCCCTATTTTGATGTACCCGTACGGACTTCCGCGTACTTTGGACGCTCATCTTTATTTCTTAGCCAGTGCCTATATGCCCCACTGACTGCTCGTTCTCCACTATGTATGGTGACCCAATTTAATGGCGAGAAACGGCGTGTTGTTATCGCAAACGAAAAGATGTTTTCCTTGACAGCCTAACGTCGTATATTCTGACACCATTTTCTCCGTTCCAGACGATCCTGAACCATTAAATCGCATTGCGGATAAGAACTGCAAGATTGGATCAATCACCTAGCTCACGATCTTTAGGTGAGGGCTTCTTGGACGCTGTCGAAGCTTTTACAAGCCGATAATTGAACGGACCAACTGTCACCCGATCAAGACCAAATTACTAAAACAACATTTGTCGAGAGGGCATGCTTATTTAAACAATGAACTGGAAAAGAAGAAACGGGTACCAATCCAGTTTAACTTACACAAATTTTACCTAGCTCTATTTCTGAACAGAAGATATAACCAGTTCCACATTGTGCACCCCAAGAGCACAAAAGATGATAAATCTCAGGGTCACAACGGCTAACCTACCAACGTGTGTTCGTCGTTTTTACGATTGGTGAATTGATAGTTCGCTGGGGTCAGTGCTGTCAAGATATAACGTTCATTTGTAAGGAGGATTATTCACTAAATTTTTATTTTCATCGCCTGTCGTCGGGTGCTTTTGTAATGACGCAATTGCATGTAGAATTAGGCTGAGAACAAATTTGCCAATTCACCGCTCATAAAACTGGGTGGCTGCCATCAGTGAATGATGTTCCCAAGAAAAAGTTATTGGAGATGCCCATTATTTAATCCAAGTCATTCAAAACTGAAAAGAACTGTATATAGGACATCCCTTGAGGTGGTCTAGAGTGACGGTTTGAAGCACGGCCCCTCGGGGAACCAGGATCACATTCATCTTCAGACCTATAACTACTCATGTTGCACTAGCAACAAACGGGTAAGTGGTAATTCGTAAAGTAACTATTCATACTCGAAGCACATCCTGGCCGACAGGTGTGGGTGATTAAGGCTTCATTAATCCTGCCCAAAAGCCCTCTACTGAGATCGGGCTCCGCCACGATTGGCTATTTGTTTATCACCGGTAAGCAAGGGAAGACTCACGTGAGTAAAGTCTCGCTTCCTTCCAACATTTTGCAGTTACGTACGCGTCATATGGTCACCCGTGTTAACTTACATCAGCATCGGCTTAGCAACCAAATAATACGTTCAGCGGCAGAAACAGAATTTACTACAGTTTGTCTGGCAGTTGTCCGTTAGCATTTCTAGTGTGGTTCAACAAAAACATAAATGTACTTTTGGCTAACGTTATCTGTCGAGTCGAAGCAGTTTGCGAACCCAAATAACGCACCAAAATAATAGTACGGCCAGATAAGTACTCCACAGCAACATCCCAAAAAACTGAGCTTTTTGAAACTTGGGCTTTATCATCGTCATTACGCGTTTTTATTGTACGATGTGCAAAGCGCTTAAATGTCTTCATGTTTCAAAATAACACCAACAGTTGCAAGATCGAATGTAACGCCTTAAGCGACTCGCCCGGCTCAGTTTGCGAAAATCGGTCCAGGCCTTCATCGTAGCACAATTTTAGGCTGACTGCTTGATAGTAATAGGGCGCTCATATTGGACAAATCCAAAGAAGGATACCCAAAGTCCTACTCAATTATCGGAGAAGCAGTACCCGCCATGGGAATTCGGATGCTCACCGCATCTTGTCATTCTTAGTTTGTTTGCCAAGCGATTCACCTACTTCCAAATGCTATGACTGCGACTCACACTAGGAATCACGTTCTCCGGAAGCCTAGCTAGCCTACGTTGGCGGATCTGTGACCCACCTGTGACTTACATATGTACATATCTAACTCAGTGCAGGAGAATAATTGATCGAAAATGGTGCTAAGAAGACATCCCCGTGGACTTTTGGCAAATGCGTGTACACTAGATTGCGGAGGATTACGGTACAACCCAACTAATTGTACCATCGTGTTCTCACCTTACTTCGATCGAACTGGTAAAACTTCAGCCTTTGCGCGCACAAGCCAGTGCGCCTCGAAACCTGTTAGCCGTATTTTTTATCATTTGGTAAACCGCACAAAACGCAGTTGTCTACATGCCGATCCCCTTGGCGGCCACCATGGTGGGTTTTGTTGACTTCATGTTCGTGCACGAACCACTTACTATACAAGAATGGCTCCTAAATTACATGATTAAAAATGTCGGTCCGGTTTGCAACCTGTTTCAGCCAACCGCTTGCCTTCAAACATTTTTCCATTAAGTTTCTGTGCTACACGTGAACGGTTGGTTAACGAGCGATGTGCGGTCAGTGGGAATTTGTGTGGTACAAAACGAGGGTTAGCACTCTTCAGGATATCCGAATTTTGCCTAAATCTGCGTGGTTGTTTTTAATAGGACTTGCTATCAAAAGTTATCAAAAAGCGCGGAAAAGTAGGGTTCGTCCTAGCCTACAACCCTCCTCCCTTACAGGTATGCGGCCGTTGGTCGGACTCGAAAATTCTTGACGCATTCAAGCGCATGACAGTAGCTATAGAATTTTCCCTTGGAAACGTTTTTGTCCGGTTGCGAAACGTAACTGACTTTTAAAGTCTGTGTTCCTATGTTGAGGCCTATGGAAAATGTTATTTAACAATGACTTGGCTATGAAAATTTTGAGGCGCTTTCGACCGCTAAATTTAGGGTTTTTTGGCTCGCTACTCATTAGCCATAAAGTGCCACTGAAAATTGCTGCGCCGCGTTAGCTTGTTTCCCCCGCAGTCCCCTCTCACGAAAGCAAGCGTGCTCTTTTACATTTGGGTACATCCATGACACTGGCACGCCACAGATACAACCGGGCAGAGAAGGGAGCTTCATCGATCGTGTTTACCATCAAAGTCTTTGAGGTCATCAGTTCACTCTAGCCTGTGTTCATCGGTCACTCCCTGATAAGCTTGACTGGAAGAGGGGAACCTTTGATGTATGAGCAAGTTGCTTTCTTGAGCAGGTCGGTGTACCTTGTGCCCAACGGAATTCGTGTGTACGGAAAAAAACAAAACGTCACTCGCACGAGCATTTTTCGATCCGAAGAAAAACCGATCA